GAGTGGCCTGACATGGGTGCTGGGAATCAACATGGGTCCTCTGAGGACTACAGGCTCTTAAAACTCTAAGCCATCTCTCCAGCCCCTCCCGTTTAACCTCAAACTCTCTCACAATGACTCTTTGAATTCATATTCTCATTCTATCTCTCTCTTCCTCCCGTTCCTCCTTCCCTTCCTCCCCTTTATAGAATAGCATCTCAGATTGGGTGATGAGGTCTTCAGCCAGCAGAGGTTCGGGATGTCAGGCGTTATAGAAACTGTGTGGTACAGAGAGTCTCTGGAGAGGAGGAAGCTGCTAATCGCAGGTCATACCAGTGAGCAGTATTGTCCCCTCTGGCCTCCACATTTGGGATTCTTTTGATTTTAATACAGGGGTGCCAAGCATTGCTCTGCCAGCAAAACCACAAGTGTGCCCACCCAAGACTTAAGGGGCACACAAGCCAGGGGTGCTGGCACACAGCACCCCCAGCAACTCAGGAGGTAAAGGCAGGAAGACCGCCCAAAGTTCAAGGCTAGCCTTATCTACATAGTAGGATTGAGGCCAGCCAGGGCTACACAGGAAGATTGTTTCTCAGGGACAAATAAATCAAACATTGAAAGCCCTAACAAACTTCCCTTAAACCTATGACTCTTGCAGACATCATATCAATGATCTACCATGAGGCTATGGGCCAAAGAGCAGCTGACCTTCCAGCGAGGAGGACGGGCCTATAAACTAAAGTCTCGTGATACTGGCTGCTGCCTCTGCACTCTGTCTTCTTTGGTCCTATAAGTCAGCTGGTAGAGAAAGTGTCGCTACAGTCCGCCTCCCCACGGCTTAAGATGGAGGTTGAGGGCTCTAGAAACTGAGGGATCCCCAGTGAGGCAGAACAGTTCATTCACCTCCCCAGGTAGAAAGCACAGATCTCTAGACCCCCAATTTTGTTTTACCCTCTTCACCTAGCAATCCTGAGTCGATGGCTGTTTCTGGAGGTTTTCCCTATTAATGCCTGAGGTTGAGAAATCTTATCAAGACCTGGAGACAGCCTCTAGACTGAGGACCCAAAAGGCCTGCACCACCACCCTGACCTGAAGGGGTATACCTTCCATACATGGACCTGTTTCAGTGTCAAATCCCCCTAAAACATGAGTCAACATCAGCCCCAGTTAGCACAGACAGGGCAATCCTCCATCCCCTCTTGCCCAGTGGGGACTCATCCCTTTACTTCTGACACCACGAAAGCCTAAGCAGTCCATCCAGTGTTATTTGAAAATACAATATAGGAGTCGGGGTGGAGGCATCGCTTGGTGTGAAGAGCAATGGCTTTTCTTGCAAAAGACCCAAGTTTGATTCTGAGCACAGACTCGGTGGCTCACAACCATCTGTAAATCCAGATGCAAGGGAATGGCGCTCTCTTCCTGCCTCTGCAGGCACAGTACACAAGCAGGGCCTAGATATACGCAGGCCAAACACCCAAGCACATGGAATACATGCTTTTCTTTTGCTTTCCAAGACAGGGTTTCTCTGTTTAGCTTTGCAGCCTATCCTGGAACACACTCTGTAGACCACCAGGCTGGTGTTGAACTCACAGAGATCCTCCTGCCTCTGCCTCCAGAGTGCTGGGATTAAAGGTATGTGCCACTACCGACCGACTACATTGAAACATTTTTAAAGAAATAAACCACAGCATAATAGGATAAAGTTCATGTACCACCCACGACACAATAGTTCATGTACTACCTCATTTCCATTCTGTTGAGAAAGCCCCTGCCTTTCCTCTGGGGTCTTAAATCACCTTGTCTACTGCTTATATGGAAAATGTCAGTTACTTAAATGACAGTCACTCCTCCAGGACACATCGCTGATCCACCACCTCTCGGAAGACTTGGAAAGCCCTTCCCTGGTAGCCATGGGAGTGTGATAGGAGCCAGTAGCTGATACTCAGGCCTGTCCCCAGGCCGCAGCTCATTTCTCTAAGTATAAAGCTCTCAGGGCTGTGGTGACCCCAGGACTTCCTCTCCAGCTAGCTTCTCTGCACTCCAAAAGACATGCAGCATCCTTCAGCTTGAGATCTGGTCACCAGCATCCCCAAGGACAGGTTCCAACACTGTCCATCTTACCAGAAATATATATCCAGACATGAACCTTTCCGGGTAACTCAGGCAAAGAAAGGGGCTGGGTGGGGCTGGAGAGATGGCTCAGTGGTAAAGAACACTAACTGGTCTTCTAGAGGTCCTGAGTTCAATTCCCAGCAACCACATGATGGCTCACACTAACTGGTCTTCTAGAGGTCCTGAGTTCAATTCCCAGCAACCACATGATGGCTCACAACCATCTGTAATGAAATCTGGTGCCCTCTTCTGGCCTGCAGGCATACATGCAGGCAGAACACTGCGTACACCATAAATACATAAATGTAGAAAGAAACAAAGAGAGGAGCTGGAGACCACAACCCAGCTGGCTCCTTCCAACGTCTACAGCAGCTACAACTGGTGGATGGAAATACAACCCAACATTGGTGCCACCAACAAGGTCCTGTGTTCAGTGGTTCAGTGTTTTGTTATCTCAACAAGGCAGCAAGGAAAAAATCGACAAAACATTTGGGGTGGAGACCTGTGATTATGAAACTTTGACCCACTGAAAAAAATAGAACACACATCCAAATGGATTCTTCCAAAGCATGGTTTTGAGAGTGTGGTGTCCAGGGCTGAGGATATAGCTGAGTTGGCAAACTGCCTGCCGGATACACAGCACATCCTGGATTTGATACACAGCATGTCCTGGGTTTGATACACAGCATGTCCTGGGTTTGATACACAGCATGTCCTAGGTTTGATCCCCAGCACTCAAAAAGTGGAGGCAGTAGGATCGGTTGTTGAAAGTTATCCTGGGCTCCATAGCAAGTTTGAGACCATCTGGGACTCGTGAGGCTCTGTCCCCAGGTGGGGATGGGAGGGAGCACAGCAATGATCCCATTGTCCAAGTATTTTTAGATTACTATTTACATCGTTAACAAGAAAATTAGTCCCATGGAATTATTGCCACACCTCAGATTTTTTAATACTTAGGTTGGAATGTTAAGGGGATTAAAATTGAGGTGGGACAAGACAAAAGCCTATATCACATGTATGAACCACTTAACACACCAGGAGGGAAAGCACAAGCAGGGTATGCTGTTACGTAAGCCATTGCTTACACACTGGTTTTACTTTCTCCAGTGACGAGTAGCCCAATCTCGAATGAGTTTCTGAAAGCTGGCATTAGCCAAACTTAGCTACCTGGAAAACTTCAGTGACAAATCCCTCTAATAACGTGCACGGTGTGGCTTTGTAAAGCGTAGGGTCTGGCTATGTGGCCCAGACTGATCTCAAGCTCACAATCCTCCTGCCTCCATCTCCCAAGTGCAGGGACTGCAGGCATGTGCCATCCCACACTTGACTGACACCAGCATTTCTCAGTGTCAACAGCTGCTTCCACGTGACCTCATGCTCATCAATCAACGGTTCCCTAGAAACAGGTTTCAAACTTGATGTCAGCAAGTTAAGCAGTGTTTTCCCTTTAGTTGCTGTTATTAACCATAACAGTAAATCTTATGGACATTAAAGGGCCATAGTTTTGTTCTGTAACATGTTTTCAAAATAATCAAGGATTTCCTTTGACATTTTCACTTATATTAGAGGAATTATTGACACAAGAAGCAGGGGGAGGAGTGTTTTGTTGTTGGTGGTTTCTTCTTTTACTTAAACCCTGGTATTGACTTTCAATGCTATAAAAGGTTCAAGCTGCCATTAGGAGGCAACTTCAGAAGTTGAGGCTCATGCCCCACAAGGGTGATGAGGGGAGGGGAAGGGGAATCTTACTACGGTTTGGTTTACAGGCAGATTGCAGAAGCCCTGACTATGGGACCTTCTTTCCCACCTGGGGTCACAGAGCCATGGAAGGGGACAGGAGACCACTCCTCAAGTGCCAACTTGAGGAAGAGGAGAAGGTTCCAGAACCCGCCCTGTGCAGTCCCCAGAACATAATGCATGGCAGAGATATGATACAATGGCAAAGGAGTTCGGAGGCTGGGCCTTCTGAACATCTGGCAAGATCAAAGTGCATTTAAAAATGCCATCCAGAAACAGTGCTGTGTCCCTCCCCACCCTGGGAGCCGACGGTTGTACCACCGAGTTCTCTCTCTTTCCTGAAACTTAGTGGTTAAGAAAGAGCTAGGCCATTTTCAGGATGAGTGCCCACATCCTCTGTAGACTCTGGTTAGAGGGTGGCAAACTGAAGTCTGTGGGCCAGGGGTCACAGCAAAGGTCAAGAGCCAGCCTGAGAATGAGCAGGCTATGGGGACAAGGATGGCCTAGACACAGAGGAGTGGACGGGGGGTGGACGGGGGGGGCCGTGGAGCACAGGAGCCTCCCTCTTGGGAACCAGACAATATACAAGAATAGCATCATCCAGGTTCTAATGTGTTGGTATGCACAAATGCACATATGTGTGCACTTTCTCACTTTGTGACACACTCAGAGCATTTTAAATTAATAAATTCCCTCTTGTCAGTCACAAACAGGGAAAAAACTAAGCCAAAAATATCCTGACACAACTATTACATTTGAGATTTCCAGATTTATTCTTTTGCATTTGTCAGCTAAAATCTAGATCTAATCTGGAATCTGCTACTAAGTATCTGATGACCTTAGACACAGCACCCAAGTTCCCTGCTAATGAAGCCATTGGACCTCAGGGCTTCTGATGTCTTTCCAGACCCACACTCTATCATGGAAGACACTCTGTCAACCCAGTGACTAAAAGACTCTTATGTTATTTTACTTTGTTGGCAAAGAAACAGATGTTCTTAAAAACCACCCTCCTTGTCCTTATTTCTGTTTTACTGCTAAGAAACATAGAAGGGGCAGACACAGGCCAGATTCATACAAATACCTCCACACTCCCTCCCAAGCTGTCACTTCAGTACCAGCCAGGCACCAGAGAAGATGGGCCCAGTTTTTCTAGTTACTTAAGCATTTTCTGATTTTACATTATGTAAGTTTATTTCTGTTCCAATTTTTACAGAGTAAAAGATTGCATTTTAGTAGAGTAAGTTCATAGGCACTTTGTAGCACTGATTTCCCATGAAAAAGATAAGAGAGCTGGACAGTGATGGTTAAGATTTGAATGGCCACAAAGATGGGCCTTTTCCCAGAAACTAAGGTCACAGGTGCTCGACCGAACGCCACTCCAGGAGCCCTGTCCTGATGAGAAGTAAACAAGGCATATCCCTTTCTGCCGTGCCCAGGATGTAGGCTAAGGCTTGAGGCTGCAGATTGCAAATGTCCCCAGGCAGGCAAGGCCTCAGACGCTGCAGGTTGCTCCCTTAGATGCACCTGTAGGCACGTTGGTTCCTACCCCCCTGTGTTCAACACCAATCAACATGGCATACGCATTTCTAAGTAATGCTTTTATAAAAACCAACAAGGTTCAGAAAAAAAGATGCTTGCCCTAAGGCACAGAAGAACACACAGAAGCGAACAGACAAAAGCAGAGAATCAGATCTCAGTGGAGGAACCTTATTACTGCAACTAGTCAAGCAATTACATCACAGAGACTGAAAGGGAGGGCCCACGGAGCAGACTAGCAAGCCTTGCAAACACCGCCCAGAGTGCGCTCATCCTTGTCCCGTGGCTGGGGTGCTCCCGATGGACTCTTGAAGCATCACTTGTATTTGTAAAATCCTTCTCCGCTTTTCTTGCCCAGCTTCTTCTGGGCCACCAGATTATTCATGGAGGGACTGGGCTGAAAGAGGGGGTTCTCTGGGTCCATTTCATGCCACCCTGTTGAGAGGAAGGACAAGGACTCACTTTGGTTTGGCATTCTCAGGGCATGCCTGGGGCGCAGGACCCATGCAAGCCACCATGGCAGAGACATAAGGCCAGCTTTGCTGGTGCAGCCAACCCTGACCCTAAAGCGTGCATGCTGCTATTTTCCTGTGCTGCCAGAAGCCTGGCTCCATTGCAGGCGCCTTGCTACCCAGGACTTCATGCAAACCAAGGCAAATGTCCAAGAGCACAAATAGAATCTCCCACTAACGGCTGGATTCCCAAATGGGACAGTTAGCATGGTAAATGCTGGGTTCTGCCCACTTGTATTGTGTAGTCTTACACAATTTCAAATTCCACATGTCAACTAAGACCCTTCTCCTCTCCAATATTTAAAGGGTTTTGATGATATTCTGCATATACTACATTTGACTTCAGCCATTCACACAGCTTAATAATTATCTTTATGCCATCTCCAAAACCACTCCCCTTTAAAAACGGTTTGATTTCAATGGAGGTAGCACAATGAGATCGTAATACCACGACAATGTCCTGACTCTCAGTTTGCACTGCGGTTATTTAAGATACACCTGTTGGGGGGGACCTGAATGGAGGGCCCATAGGACCTGAATTGTACTAGAAACACCTGTGATCTATAACTATATCCAGTGAACGGTTACAGACAGTTGCCCTGCTAAGCAACAATAGGCCATCTCCCTCCTGCTTCCATCTGGGTGGATCTCTAGCTGGCTACCATGACTGAACCTGCTTTGTTCCCCCATAGGCTGAGGATTCCCAGGGCGGCAGTGTGGAAAATGGTGGAACTTTCTTCAAGAGGTGGGCCCTGAAAAGGTAGTCACAGGGCCCTACCCACACAAGGGGACTTCCAGTTTTCTCAGGAGTGGGTCAAATCTAGTGACTAGATTACTTCTTGAGACAGTCATCCCGTATCCACACTGTAGACCTTTCTGCACACAGCTGTTTTCCTTTCTAGCCTCTGCCACGACATGACAAAGCCAGGAGTATCTTGTCGTTTGGAGCATCTCCAGCTATCATAAACAAGAGCCACACAACTTTTTTTTCCTTTATAGAGTATCCTACCTCAGGCATGTGGTTATAGTAACACAAAATGGATTCGGTAAGGCAGGACTTTGAGAGTCTTAATTTTTGTAATTTTTCTTAATTGGCATTACAATTTACAGTTCTAAGAGACCAATTCAACCCAGTTTTTTTTAAAGAAGGAAGAGGTTTTAATTCCTACCATCCAAGATGAACTTTGTAGTATCCAACCCAACGTAGTCAAGAAGCTCAAACGGACCCATGGGGTACCCAGCTCCCAACTTCATGGCAGTATCGATGTCCTCCTTAGATGCATCACCTGCAGAGGAAAGGGCAGCCCTGAGTCACCACCACCTTTCTCCAACTCTCCCCATGCTTGGGTCACTTCTAGAATCACTACAATTGTATAGACACGCACATTCTGAAAGTGGATAAAAGCCCATGTTCCTGGGGTGGGTAAGATTTTTGTCTCCAGTCACATGCCACATAGGTCACAGCTTTTCAAACCAACTGACCCAGATGGGGAGACCTCTAGACGCTGTTGCCCAGTTCATGGAGTGAACAGTCCAGCTCTGGGAACACTGGCCCCTAACAGCATGGGACTTCCCAAGTCCAGAGCCATTCACAAAATATGCCGTTTGATACTAGAGTTTTATTTTATAAATATGCTTCACATATACACACATGTATGCACACACAAGTTTACACATATGCATACACAGATACAAACAAATACACATACATTCACACATACAAACGTGCAGGTGCACACACGCTTAGGTTTCTGTTTATGTGTTACATGTGTATTTTTTTAACTTTCTTTGTTTTGCAAACGAGCATTCTGCTGGGCCTGTGTTCACATAGTCAAGACACCACTTAAAGAAAGTCCTTACAGCTAGAACCACGATGCACCATTTGTTCTGCATTCCTGAGAACGGTTTTCAAAACCATGCTAAGCTGGTGTACAAGTGTTTAGGCACTTTATCTCCAAAGCCAAGCTCCTTCCTGTTACTCGAAGAGATACAACAGCTCTCCAGTAAGTCTCTGAATCTGGAAGTAGTCTTGTGTCTAGAGTTCACTGGCCTGTCTTTGAGTATGGGTTTGATTAAATAACTTCAGGTAAGGTGGAACCACCGTGCTCTGTTGAGAACCCGAGGATGAAGGTTCTGGGCTTTTCCTTTAGATTTCTCCCTATACCGTCCTGTTGATGGGTCACAAGATGCCTTTATAGAAAGCAACCATGTACTCTGCCTCCAAAATCAGAGATGGGAACCACCTGTATTACATGACTATCTATCTAGAATTTCCCTTCAAAACATAAAGTAGTGGTCAATAATACCAGAGCTCAAAGTGCTAAAACAGTGTATTCCATACCTAGAAATGTTAGATGCCTCAACTGGAACCCTCTTCCTCAACAATAAATCCTTCCAAGTCACATTTTTCAAAAACACACAAAGCACTAAAATAATGCCAGAAGATGTCAGTGCAACCAAAAATGATCACAACACTGGGCACAGTGGCGCATGCCTGAAATCCCAGCAGCTGGGAGCTTGAGGAAAGAGAATAGTGAGTTCCAGGCCAGCCTGGACCACTAAGTGGGACCCTATAAACACACAGACACACACACACACACACGCACACACACACACACACACACAGACACACGGAGAGAGAGAGAGAGAGAGAGAGAGAGAGAGAGAGACAAAGAGAGAAATGCACACATGCAAAATATAAAACTTATACTAGTATAATCCTAGTAGGTAATAGGTAGTTGACTCAATGGTTAAGAGAAATGATTGCTCTTGCCCAGAACACAAATTCAATTCCCAGCACCCACATGACAGCTCAAAAACATCTGTAACTCCACTTCCAGGGGATCTGACACCTTCGCCTGACCTCTGTGGGCACCAGGCACACACATGCAAACTCCGGGTCTCCAGCATTGCTAAGCAACCTGTCTACCGGGGAGCTCTATCCTCAGCCCTGCTTTACTCCATATTGGCACCAACTGCCTGCTGGGCACTAGGCACTTGAGACAACAGCAAAGCAAGGCAGTGGTGACTTAATGGGGGAGGGGCAGACTCAGCACTGCCGCGTCCTAACCAGCTTCCCCACTGCCCCGAGGCCCAGGGTCTGAAGGATGAAGAGAATCTCAAACGGTAGCTGGGACAGTACCGTAGCAGACTGTAGCTGAGCTCAGAGGACACGAGGTGGCTCACGTAGCTGAGCTCTGACTCCACGGCTCACACACACACTGTTCAGGACTCGGACACCGAGGCATCCATGATGCGAATGTGCCTCTAGATGCCAGAGGCAGCACCCTGATAGGCTCCTGCCCCAGGACCCCTTCCTCCATGCTGTGCCCTGGGCCAATAAGCCTCCCTGTACCTTCAGGCCTCAGCTGCTTCCTTCCTCCAGACTTCCGTTCAGGTGGTGCCAATCAGAGTCTCCCCTGCAGTGCATGAAATAGGAGCTTCTGGGGCTGGAAGCCAGGGCACCCCTCACCCCTGCGTGTCTCCACAGTCGCCAGTCAGAGCCTCATCAATGGCTCATTGATGCAGGCAGTGTCCCCTCAAAAGAATGTGCACGCCCTGGGGACAGAAATCTAACAGCAGCTAGCTTAAGCTACAGCCATTTAATCAAATCCAAGTCAGAGACTATGGGCCCTAAAGGAAAGGCTAAAATTCACAATTCAGAACCTCACTTGATTATTACTGTGTTTCCAAAACACTGGAGGAACAAAAACACTGTTAAAACAACAAAAAAAAAATCAGTAAGAATCTGCAGTCAGCAGCACTCTATAAACAGTTCTGTCTTCAGTAAATCAGTAAATGGGCAGAGAAAAAGTCAGAAAAGCAGCATATACAACATGTTCAAGTACTGGACACTACAAGAGTTAAGGAATTAATGAGAGCCTGATGCTTCCTAAACACACAACACACACACACCATACACACACATACATACAGTTCTGCCTCACTTTTTCTAGCCCCCCTAAATACGGAGCCATTAACTCAGGATAATTCTTCCTCAGAGAACCCCAAACCTGGATGACTGGAGACTAGACCAGGGACCTGCTGAAACAGCTGAGTTGGTCTCTGGCTCTCTGGCACCACCTGCTGGTCAGTCTCAACATTACCAGCTGAAGCTCTTGCTCAAAGAAACACAGACTGACAGACACTACTTCATTGACTGATGGCTGAAGCCTCACTCCCTATCTGGAAGGAGCTGTGAGGGGCATGGAGATGAGGACTCCAACCATACCCCCTGGAAGGAGGACAGCCGGAGGAGTCAGATGTGCCACGCCACAGGGAAAGGTATCAAATGACCCAAGAGAGAGCGAAAGCTAAGAGCAAAGACAGATTATGCCCAGCCTGGACCTCAGGAGCACCAGGTATGTGGAGATGATGGCAGAGTCCGAGGGTGAGGTGGGGCACTTCCTGTCATGGCTAGTATACAAGTCACCAGAGAACCGCTGTACCTGAGCCAGGTGAGCCAGGGTGAGGTAGGGGGTGTGGTGTTGGGGACATTTTGTGACTGGAGGGTAAGCTCACGACATCCCCAGGCTATTACAGACAACCCTGCTCTGAGGAGCTAACCCTGCCCTCTCGCCACCCTGCTGGAGCTGAGTGAGCACGTGACAGGGACTATAGGTTCCAAGCCTACGTCGCTCTGATCCTCAGAGTTGGGACACTCACCCATGCAGCCTCCACCAGTCTGAAGTGGACAGCACACAGCTGTAGAAGACATGGGAAGGCCTACCGCAGGAGGCTGCCAGAGGTCAGAGGTCAGAAACACAGTGAGCCTCCATGAGACTCCTTCTACACAGGGTGTGGAAGTGCGGTGGGCACTCATGGCACACTGGCAGCTACTCAGCTCTCTGAAGCCTTGACGAAACTGTCTCCCACACAGTTCTACAAGCTCTCCCATCAAAACAGCATTTACCAGCCTGAACACACACACACACACACACACACACACACACACACACACACACACACACACACGGTGTGTCAACAGCATGAGACAGAAAAATTCTCCCCAAACGAACCAAGAAGCAAAGTTAGAGCACAGGGGGCATGGACAGAGCTTCCTTCGCAATATAACACTTTCTCAGCAAGCAGAGTGGCGGAGACGGGTCTAAGAAAGACCTGTAGTAACCAGGGTAGCTCTGGCTGAGCCTCCCTAGAGTGGCCTGGCAGAAGGAGACAGGCCTGGGAGAGAAAGGGAGCAGTGATGACAGGGAGGTCTCAAAGGTGACAAACGGAGGACCTAGAGTCGTCAGTGGGAACACAGAACTGGGGGTAAAGGCCAGGGCATGCATCTAAGCACACACTGGTGTTGGCTAGGTGAATGGCCCAGAACACTGGAAGAGCCCTGGAGGGGGCTGGAGAGAAGGCGGTTAAGAGCATTGGCTGGCTGCTCTTCCAGAGGTCCTGAGTTCAATTCCCAGCAACTACAAGGTGGCTCATAATCACCTGTAATGAGATCTGGTGCCCTCTTCTGGTGTGGATGAAAACAAAGCATTCAAATACATAAAACAAGCAAACAAATAAATATTAAAAAAAAAAAAAAAGCCTGGAATCAGGACCACAGTGTGAAATGTTACAAACCTGAACCGACATGACACTTAGCAACTTCATGGCACTGTCACAGGATCCAGCTACAAAGAGAGAGGCCACAGGACCAGCAATGACAGGCCACCCAGGGAAACACCAAGAGCAAACTGAAAGCATGCCCTGGGGCCAGGTTCTGCCCTTCCTGGTACAGCACAGAGGTGGCTTGTAATGACGAGGGGTAAGGAAAGCAGTCTTCAACCTAGCATCTGATACTTGGCACATGGGAGCGGTATCAAAGGCCAGCCAGTTTCAGAGGAAAAAGAAAAAAGAAAAAACCTATAAAAGGTGCTACATTCTGAAACATTACATTTATTAGAGAGAAAAAAACCACGGATGTCTTTCAAGGCACCGCCAAAATGCCACATACTTTCTTTGAGGTGTAATTAGACGCATTTTCTGAAGATAAACATAGAAGTGATGGTTTGATCTTGGGGTAAAAGTAGGCAACTGCTTCCATAAAGCACAAGGCAAGTTTAATACTTAAAGACAATTTTGAGGAGGCAAATGCACTTTTATGTGCTGGAAAGAGCTGGTGTAAACGCTTTGTTTGGGAAATAGCACTCTTGAGAGTATCTGTAAATGAAGTCACCCAAATAAGCGATCATACTTGTGTTTTACCCCGTCACTACAGCTTGTTGGCACAGAGAGGAGACATCACACACACTCTCCTCAGAAATGGGAGGAAGTCAGGCACGCGGGTGTGTGTCCATCCTAACCACAGACCACGTCACGAGGCTTATGTTTCACAGAAGACAAAGTCATTCTTTGTCAACTAGAAGAGGACCTTTCAGGCCGAGGTGATTGTTTAGCAGGTAAAAGTCCTTGCCACAGTGCTAGGCATGGTGGCACACGCCTTTAATCCCAGCACGCAGGAGGCAGAGGCAGGCGGATCACTAAGAGTTTGAGACCAGCCTGATCTACAAAGTGAGTTTCAGGATGGCCAGGGCTGTTACACAGAGAAAACCCTGTTTCAAAAAACCACAACATGCACACACACAATGTGCTTGCCATATAAACCTGGAGACCTGAGTTTGATCTCCAGACCTGAGAACTAACCCCACAAAGTTGCCTTCCAGCCTCCACACATATACCATGACATGACATGATATGCAGGTGTGCACACCCCCCCACACACACAAATAAACAGTTTTGTAAGAGAAGGGAACATTCTAGATCACTCATGAGGTGTAAAGCAGCGCTTCATGACTCTTTCCAGTAAGGACAATGTCCCTACCGTGAATCAATCCTGTCATTCATTTCCCATCTCCTGTCACACAGTCACAGGTTTTCCACATTAAAGAACTTTAAACAGACTGTGGTGTGACTGTGACAATATATGAGGCCACTGGCAGTGGGTCCAAGATCTAACACTAATGCACAAACTGACTTAGTGGAGCCCATTCTGTATGGAGAGATACCTTGCCCAGCCTAGACACAGGGGTGTGGGGGTGGGGAGGTGCCTTGTTTCTGCCTCAATGAGATGATGGGACAGACCTAGTAGACTTCCTATGGGAGGCCTTACCCTCTCTGTGGAGCAGATGGGAGGGGGGAGTGGAGGAAGTGGGGAGAAAGGAGGGACGGGGAACTGGGATTGGAATGTAAAAAATAAATTAATAATTAAAAGAGAACTTTAAACAACTCCTAGTCCGGCTATTTTTCCATTACTATCTTTTTGAAAGCAGTAAACTCTTATTTGTAGCATTTAGGTTCATACGTGCATGAATGTGTGTGTGTGTGTGTGTGTGTGTGTGTGTGTGTGTGTGTGTGTGTGTGTGGTGTGTCCTTGAGTGCGTGCAACATGCATCATGTATGTATGTGTGTATATGTATGAGTGATGTAACATGCATCATGCATACATGTGTGTGGCTGAGAAGAGGGCCGGGGCTGGAGTCACAGGTGGGTGTGAGCGGCCCAACACGGATGCTGGGAATGGAGCTTGGGCCCTCTGGAAGAACAGTACACACTCTTAACAGCTGAGTCCTCTCTCCATCTCCCCCCAGTAGTAAGCATTTATTTAACTAAAAGTGGCGGTCTAGGATCAGCACCATGGATGCCACTGCTGCAGCCTGGCCTGTCACTGACTCCCACGGGGTGGTCAGGGAACCCAGGGCAAAGCTGAGTTTAGTTCAGCAGAACAAGAGAGCAGAACCCCCCTTCCCAGGCTCAGCATAGCCCAAGCCTTCTCCTGCACAGACTGGGACCTGAGAGCCTTAGCCTGTTCTGGAAGGTACCTCTCTCGTGGAGCCGGATGGCCTCTATGAGGTATGGCACCAAGAGACGGTTCACGATGAATCCAGGAGTGTCCTGTTGCAGGGGAGAAGACAAGTGACACCATTAACCTTGACCTCCTGCTTTGTATAGACCACTCCTTCCCCTTGACTGTGCTGCCCACCCTCCTGCCATTCAGTTTGAAAATGTGCTGTGAAGTCCCTTACTCTAGCTCATACAGCAACACAACATTCCCTCTTCTACCCCCAACTCCCCTCTGAGAGATCACCCGCATTCTTTTTGTTTGTTTGTTTGTTTGGTTGGTTTTTTGGTTTTTCAAGACAGGGTTTCTCTGTATTGTTTTGGAGGCTGTCCGGGAACTCACTCTTGTATCTAGGCTGGCCTCGGACTCACAGAGATCCTCCTGCCTCTGCCTCCCGAGTGCTGAGATTAAAGGCCACCAATGCCGGGCTGAGATCACCCCATACTTACACACTCCTCCAAAGTGCAGCATCCCCCAGGTTCTCCAGAGCCACCCCTGGGTCAGCAATGTCTCAGAGCTAACCCAACTGCACCCTCCACAAACTGACCATCACAGCAATAGGACCCACGTGCCCTTCCATTCCCACACACCAACAGCAAGGCCTGCCGCCATCTTCACAGGGCAGGCATGGCCAGCAGTTCTAACATCTCAGCCAAGGCTGTACTAATGAAACCATCTGCTAACAGCCAAAGTATGCCCTTCAGGGTCAGGTTTACTGCTGAGCTCAGCACAAGAGTACCCAAGAGCAAGAAACATAGCATATACAAACAGCATATACACAGGCTGCATGACAACTACCCTGGATGAAAGTTAGTGTTTTCCTCCAGCAAGAGCACCTAAGAGCCGTCTGAAGCCGGTCTGCGCTTCTTTAAACAAGACTTAGAAGGGATTTAAAAAAGCATGTTGTGATAAACATGTAACCCAGAAATGCCACTGAATTTTCAAGCATTACTGTAGGCCCCCTAGCATTACTAGAAACACAGAACACACGGTACAGCTTTAGGGTGGCTGTGACTGCCGGGTGACAGGGCTTCCTCAGCTCTACCTTAGAAGGCCACTGTACATTGGCCGTCTGTCCCTAACGGGAACGTCTGTCCCACAGTACATAACTCTATCTACTGCGTTTTACAAAAGTATTTGTGATCCCTGTTCTATGTGTCTGCTGTATATTGGAAATCCCTCCTCAAGAGCTTGAGTAACTAACCCAGAAAGGCCCCCAGGTCGTCTCAGGATGTCACACACAGAGGAGGTTCTTGCACAGCCTGAAGCCACCACTGCACTGATAGACCAGCACACAGTGTGACTTTCTGGTCAGGGGACCAGGAGAAGCCCAGCCTTGTACACTTCCAAGCCACCCGACCCAGCCACACCTTCTTATTGACACGCTAATACAATCACCATGTTCTCCCCTTAATCGAGAATCTGTAGTAGGAGAGTACAAGCAAGCATAGCAACCACTGTTGTGACTAAAAGAAAAAATTCGCTTGACTTAAAAGAATGAAGAAAAAAAAAGCCAGGCATTGGTGATGCATGCCTTTAATCCCAGCACTCAAGAGACACAGGCAGGTGGATCTCTGTGAGTTCGAGGCCAGCCTGGTCTACAGAGCAGGTTCCAGAACAGCCAGAGCTGTTACACAAAGAGACCCTGTCTCAAAAAACAAAAACATAAAAAACAGCAAAACAGGGGATTGGGGTGGTAGATGGGGTGTATGGAGGACAAGTTTGCTTTCTGACAGGAAAAACTCTACATGCCACTGAGGAATTCCCCCTTGCTACCCTCTGCCAGGCTAGTCTCAGCACCCTGTAATTCTGTATCGTTCTTTCCAACATTCTGTTTTCTACTGGGGCACAGGCTTGCAATTCCCCGGGAGCAGAAGTGGTTGAAACTGACAGGACCACAGAAACCGTTTATAAACACAGCTGCTCATCAACAGGTTCCTGAGTCTTCTGTTTAAATCCAGGCTCCCCTCTCTCAGACTACACATATGGTGGCATGGGGCTTGGCTTAGGGGTCGGGTTTTTTGGCCTACTAACTAGAACAGAGGCACAGCCTGGTCCTTCCAGGACATGGAGAGGGCCAGCTGTCAACAGAGCCCATGGCTCACACTGTCTGTTAGCAGTGTTCTCCGAGCAGCAGGCCCACAAAAAGTCACCTCTCTCCCAGGCTACCCACACTCTGTCCCCAGGGGTTCATGTGATGGAAGTCTGGTGTCCTGGAAGACGTAATAGAGTTAAGAGATGGGCCCCAGAGACAGATACTTAGATGGCTGAAGGCTTGAGTCTCAGAAGGGACCATTCCCTTCCCGGATGGATGGGAAAGTGACCTGACCAGAGCATCTCTCTGACTTGCTGGACAAAGATGTGTTCCTTTCTCCTGAATGTTCTCTGGCCACGGTGACTGCACTTAGCCACGAGGTCTTCCCTAGTGCTCAACTAATACTGGCACCATGCCCTCGAAGCTCGAGAACTGCCCCATCAGTATCAGCTGAAGCTCGAGAACTGCCCCCTACTTCATAGCTCCCTGCCATGAGTATTTTACTGTGGTCACAGAAAACAGACAAAAACATTACCCACACTTTACCTTGCAAGAAACAGGGTGCTTTCCTAAGGTTTTACAAAAGTCGACCAGGGATTCGAATGTCTTCTGGCTAGTCATCGGTGTTTTAATGATCTGGAAATACAAAGCAGGGAATTATGACTGGGGAGGACAGAGATAGAACAGTAGACTAGTTCAAGGACACTGAACCAAAGGCTCTATCTACGCAGGTGACAGAAACATCTTTTATTTTAGCGCAGTAAGCATACCCAAACGCCCGGGAAGACACTGGAGTCTGCAGAATGCGCAGCCCCGGGGTTAAGAATCGAGTGTGTGTTGCTGGGTGGGTAAGAGTCTTTCAGACATTGCAAGCCAGGTGTCTTAGAGTCAAATCCCAGCTGCACTGCTTTCCTGGACTAACTGGCACAGGACACTGGGCATGTTTGTTGAAACTGAAGTGACATTAAAACCACTCTGTCCGCATCAAGGAGCTGTAAGAAATTCAGACAGGGGTGAGGCGCTAAGCTGCTGCCCAGTAGACCAGCGAGCCCAGGAAACACCAGCTCTGCTTCCTGACTTTGTTAGTAGCTACAGGGTGGAAACTGGTGCCGACCGGGGACTTGGGCGGGGTGGGGCGGTAGCTGTTCCTAAGGTTCTCTGCATGGAATCCACCTCTGCCGCAGATGTGGTGTGATGTACCCGTCACAGTCATCTGGATTCCCAGATGAGCAACCACCTCAATGTGCTACCTGCTCCCACACAGATGACCAGGCTCATGGGCCCCTGCAGTTCAAGAGGGTTCATCGGAGAGGGTACTTTCATTTTAACCAGGGCCCCCAAAGGGCTGCCACTGACCTTCCCTTCAGGGCACACAGGGCACAGCTGCTACCCCTCTGGAATCCAGAAGAGGCGGCGGCACCCAGCACAAAGCCTCAAATTACAGCTCTCGGAATCACTTGTGGGGAATTCGATTTGGGTAAATGGAGAACCCGGGGCGAATTACACACACCACATATGTACACAGACAGTTTAAATGGCAGTTAAGAACTTCAGCTAGAGTCATAATGAGGAGGCTTAGCTTCGGCAGTAGACCCTTGCCGGTGTCTCCATCCCTTCTGGGAAATGAGGATCAAGATACTGGAGGTGTCCCATGTAAGAAGGCGATCTGGCTAAATGAGCTAGGTCTGTGCCGGGATGAAAGGAGCCGCGTGAAAAGCTTAGGAGAACCCAAGCGGCAGCGGGGGGGGGCATGGGGGGTAGAGCGCAGCAAGAGGCAAGGGAGAAACCTCACTGCAGCAGGCAGCGGGGTGTAACACCACAGGGAGCATAGGAGGAGCCACCCTGCAGCAGCAGCAGGGTATGCCGCCACAGGAAGCATAGGTGAACCCATGCTGCAGGAGCAGCAGGTGTAACACTGCAGGAAATGGGTAGGTGGAAACAGAAACGAGCACCAGGAGATGGAGATGAAGACAGAATGGGCCAGAAGCCCCTGTGAACAGAGATCTTCAAACTATTCCGAGGGAGCCTGAAGAGGCCCGCGTCAGCTCCATGAACAGCTTGGACAAAGGCTGCCAGACAGCCTTGGATGGATCTTCAAGGTAAGCTGCTGGCTTGAAGGAGTAGGTGGCTGCGGGCTGGGAGCTTTGTAAACAGGAGGGACACTGATCACTTCATTAACAAATGGCAACATGTGACAGGTAACATACAGCCCCAACGTAGTCCTGCCCCAAGGGAACGGAAGGCCTCTTTGGCTCACTGCTGCCCTCTAGGCTCACTGCTGCCCCCTAGGCTCACTACTGCCCCTAGGCTCACTACTGCCCCCTAGGCTCACTACTGCCCCCTAGGCTCACTACTGCCCCTAGGCTCACTACTGCCCCTAGGCTCACTACTGCCCCCTAGGCTCACTGCTCCCCCTCGGCTCACTACTGCCCTGTTTCTCATGCTCACCAAAAGCTCACAAAAATCCTAGCCTGAAGGGGAGTTGGGCAGGAAGTCCCACCCCTAACTGAGGAACTAGTGGCAACTGCTGGGAGCTGGGGAGTTGGCTTGCTTTAAGGGTGTGGCTTCTGCTAAGCCAATTATGCTCCAGTGGGAAGCCACACACCCAAGAGTATATGTATTTGATGGCTGTCACTTACAAAACGAAAAACAAAACAAAAAGACACAAAATCCCGAGGACAGGGAAAGGGAGTTAGGCTTGGAAGGGGTTGTGGGGCGTTGGGCGGAGGTGAATAAAAATCAAAATACATCAAATGAAATTCCCAGTGAACTAATAAAATAGAAATATAAACTATACTCAATGGAGTGGAACACTTTCATGGAATGCTTTCTAGGGAATGATAATAGTTGCTAAGCATCATAATAACTACCTGGAGAAGATGCAGAGGGAAGATTCTTGCCCTTTACAGTAACTTTACAGAATATGTACTATCTGCAGACTGAAAACCCACAAGACCTAGGAACTACAACCAAGTGTAGTTCCCCGGGGAGTGCAATTGCAGACAGCTGTGCGCTTCCATGTGAGGGCTGGGAATCGAACCCAGCTCCTTTGGAAGACCAGCCAGCACTCCTAAGCACTGAGCTATCTCTCCAGCACATGGCTGATTTCTTTAATACCAGCCTAGAAAAATAAAACAATTTCAATGCGACAGGAGCGTTCCCGCTGCAGAAAGATGGGACCTGCCACTTGAAGGGAGGGAAAAATGGACGTGAAGTAGCCAGAACTGAGAAGCCCAGCTTCTGTGGGGAATCAGCAGTGAGGGGACCTGGCAAAGGGCTGGGCGGGAAGGCGGCCATGAACAACTCCCAGAGAGGCCCCAGCCAGTGTCTGCAGGCTTGCAGGCTCCGCATGGCGGCACCCCCCACACTTCACGAGGCAATAACTCCACAACCTCAGACCAAACACTGCTTTCATAGCAGTCCCTCCCGGGGGACCCTGTAATTAACCCCTCCAAAGGGCAAGCTGCCACATTTCAAGTGCAAATTGTCGACGGTGACTCCATCGCCCTCGGTTGAGTTTCCCAGCAAGTGAGCAGATGCAGCCCACACAGGCAAGCCCTGCCTGGCCCCTCCCTCTACCTCTGGCCTTTGAGGTCAGGAGGCTCATGGCTGCAGGAAGCTCCTTTTAATAGCTCTGATGACAGCACAAAGATGGACCTCGCCTGAGACAATATTAAAAGACTGCTGCATGGGACCACAATTCCCACCAGCGGTGACACACATCACGTCAGACAAGAACTGCATCTCCAGCATGGGACAGACTGGCCTCAGCAAGACAGTACGAAGGTGTATAGGTCTCGCCTCCCTCATCATGCCAGTGACTCCTAGTGTCCGTCCCTCCCTGTCTGATTCCCCTGTCGGCACCTCGTTGACACAAGCAAGTCAATGACAAACACCGGCCCATAAGCAAAGTAGAGGCGCCTTCCAAGACAGTAGGTAGTTTTTCCTTTCTTTGGTCCCAAAGAGGACAAATTGCGATAACAGAAATACAAAGGGGTGGTCTTCTGGTTCCTGTCAAATTTCATACAACCTAAAGCCCAGCGGGAGGGCTGGTGTGACTCAGAAGGCAGAGTTGGGAAAGCTTGAGAGCAAAGCACAGAGGACCAGGTGCCTACTGACCTCCACAAGCTTCATCATGGGGACTGGGTTGAAAAAGTGGAGGCCAGCAAATCGGTCTTGACGGGTGGTGGAATTGGCTATGCTTGTGATCTGCAGAGAGGAGGTGTTGCTGGCAAAGACTGTATGTCTGTGGAGAGAAAAACGGTGGAGAACCAGAGTGAGTTCCAGGACAGCCAGGTCTATGCAGAGAATGTCTCAATAGTAATAATAATAATAATAATAACAAAACAACAACTGCATTTAATTAAGTTACCAGCCCCATCTGTGTGATCTTCATCAAGCTTTTCGGGATTTTTAGAAACTAAAGTTTTCTTGTTCGCATTTCAAAATGTGTGCTGAGGAGAAGGGGAAGCAGTTAGTGGTGAGACCTACCCAAGCTAACACAATGAAGGGACCAGACTCATGAAAAATGGAAGGATGGACCAGACCATAAAAACTGTAAACAAACTATCCTCAGAGAAAATCGCCTGGGCACACAGGACAGGACAGTGCCCCTCTCGTGAAAACCCTTAACTTTATCATTGGACAAGAATTCAGATGAAAACACACTGCTTTGAACATGCTCAAAGGGAAGCTTAATCACACAGAGAACCTGGGAAGGGGGGGGGCGCGTACACACATGATACGTGTTCACAGCACTGTGCTTACCGGATAGCCTGGAAAAGCACTGTTTATTCCATAGGTATAGAATCTTAACTTACAAACTCATACTGCCTTGTGACTAAATCCAGTTCTTTTCTTCTTCTTCCTTCTCAAAGTTTAACTTGTTAAAACCAGAGTAAAGTGGGGGTGCCCGGGGGCAAAGCCTCTAGCTGGATGGCTAGGCTTTCCTGCAGCGCCACCTTGTGGATAACTCACAAAGCTGTAGGATGCCCTTTCGCCCAGTTGGACAGTGGCCCAGATCCTCTCTGGGGTTCCTGATTATCTAAAGGCAATGATACAGTCTGTCCAAATTCAGAGGCAGGCAAGAAGAAAGCCACTGGGAAGGAATGAAATCAGTACTTTGGGAAAGAGAGAAGGGGAAAGGGGACATCAGCCTGGGAGTGGTGGGTACGTGGATGGCTGAGCCCGGAGGATTGTGAGGTGGAGGCATCATCTTGGACTTGAGAAGACACTGTCTCTGGTCTGTGGGCGGATGGCTGGCGTGGGTAGGCAAGTAAGGAATGAAGGTCGCCAAGCTCAGGTCAGGAGAGCTGGCTTCCAAGGCACTAGCAGACCCACCTTCCTCAAGGGAGTTGGCAGGCTACTTAAAACCCAAGCTAGCACTGGGGAGGTCTCTGAAACTCGATACCGCAAGACCCTTGAATCACAGGTTGTAAACCGTCGGACACCCCAAGGTCAGAGGGGGAAGTGGTGGCCTGTCCCCACCCTCTCTGTTCCCTCCACTGACACCAGGGGGCAGCAGAGCCTTTCACCGCCGTGAAGGCAACGGGGTTTGATTGCCTTGCCAGACTCCGTGCTGACCTGAGAGTCAACCCCAGCACCACAAGCGTCCTCTTTGTCACATGTTTCTGAGGAGCTAAACGCGCACGATCAGCAGAATGCTGCACAGAGGACAGAACCGGGAGCTCGCAGCCACCGAGACACACAGATGGGGATTTACAGCCCAGCAAGCCGATCCACAAGTGCTTCCCGAGAATCACTTCTGCATATAACCTCACTCCACCGTCCAGGGCTGACCAAGGAGGGAGAAATGCGGCCACGTGGGTCATAGGACAAGCACACACCAGTTAACTGGTCAGCTGCCATAACCGCCAGAAGCTAAGAGTCAAACAACTGGAGGCCCTAGATTGTGACCCTAGAGCGTTGTCACCTACGCACGATCTTACTGACACCCGAGGCCACCACAGCCTGGAAATCCCCCCATGACCCGGACTTGACAGGTCACTCAGTGTTCACTTAATCCCCCCAGGAAAGTTGTAACTACACCGGATAAAACTGGAAACAGAGGCATGCTGAAGACTGCACAAAGACACTTTGCCTTCAACTAGACCAATCTGTCTGGTGCACTGCAGACTCCCATTAAAGGATTCACCTCGGTATGGTGTGTTCTCAAGCACACAAAGGTCTGTGCCCCCTAGTGGCTGCAGGAAGCACTCAGGCATGACACTGGGCTGCTAATTCCATTTAACCACCGGCAACTCTACCCCTCGTGTAGACAAGGATCTGAAGAGGGAACCCAGCAGCTCTTCTGCAAGAAGTGTTGTGAAGGAGAGGTAGTCTGTCGTCAGAATGGGAGGCCCAAGAGCCAGAGAACCCAAGCAGCAATCTCAGTCACATACTCTGCAGCAAACTTGTCCAGCCGCTGGAAAAGCTCATTCTTCAGCTTGAGATTCTCCACGATGGCCTCCACCACCAGGTCTGTGCTGTGCACGACCGAGGCTGCGTCGGTGCTGGTGGAGAGGCAGCTCAGGGTCTTCGCCACAAACTCATCACCAGCCTGTGCAGACGAGAAGAAAACAGCCTTCACTGGGCCTGCGGGCAACAGGGCAGGTCCGAGGATGGAGGAAGGCCAGAGACCAGCACCCCCAGACCCAGCGGGAGTCACTTGGAACTCTGAGACAGCAAACTCCCAATCTCCCGGCGGAGGGGCAGAGCATCCATGTGCTTCGAGACACCAGGGCAAGAGTCAGCCTGTGGGCAACCCCAACTGTACACAGCAAGTATAGACCATCTACTGGGGACAGAGGGAAGACGTAGCTGCTGCTTAATGAGGATAGTATCTGTTCAGAATCGTGAGACTTGAGAATATTATACACACAAATATAACCGATGCCACTGAATTAAAAAGCGCTTAAAGTGGGAGACAAGAGAGTGTAACAGATCATATAGAATCAAAATGTACGGTGTCTGTGTATGGAAATGTCATAACATACTGTAGAACTCATCGTGTAGACAGCATCATGCATGCTAAGAAAACATTAAAAAATTAAAATGAATTTTATGTCGTATATATAATGCATACCACAATAAAAACATGCAGGACAATTGTTGGGGCACAGAGGTCCTTATAGTCACAGAGAAGCACTAAGAGAACCAGGAATGTTAATCGTGCAGGGAGGGGTCTCTCCTCAATGGAGGAGATAAAAATCAAAGCCTACATTCTATCCAGAAGGCTGAGAGTGGATTTTGTTAATGACCTGGTGACTTTTTGCTATCTGTGGAGACAGATCTTATCCACCTTTTACTATAGAGATAGTCCTCACCCTAATTCCCCAGAATTCTTATTCCACATTCTTCCCTCCCTAGACCATTACTCATCAGGAGGGGAGAGAGGTCACACTTACTTTATGCCCTTCTGACCTCTATGCTAGAGACCACACTAGATCCTAGGCCTTTAGTTATAGAGCCCGCCCTCATGGTCACATGTACTTTGTAAAGGAGTTTCTGTGTAGTCACACATTAAGCTTTATCGTGCACCTGGAATGGGACTGACGGCTGCATGGAAACCTTTCTCCGAATTGTACTGTGTTTTGAATATGCTGATAAAGAAAGACTGGCATTAGAGTCCCTGAAATCTGATCCTGACAACTTAATCTGCACTGGGTTTTCATCCTTATCTCTTCAGTGGTTTACTGTCCTGCCTGGATACCTGCAGAGACACCCTCAGGCAATTCCATAACTACTGTAGATGCTCAACTTTAAAAAACAGCAAAAGAGCCGGGCGGTGGTGGCGCACGCCTTTAATCCCAGCACACGGGAGGCAGAAGCAGTCGGATCTCTGTGAGTTCAAGGCCAGGCTGGACCGACAGCCTCCAAAACAATACAGAGAAACCCTGTCTCGTAAAAACCAAAAAAAACAAAAAAACAAAACAAAAACAAAAACAAAAAAAAAGCAAAGGTCGTCCAGTCAACAGACAGGTTAATAAACAACAGTTTTCGAAAGACACACAAATTGCCAATATATGCGTTTGTAAAAGCTGTTTTAAGAGTCCATCTTATCCCAGTTAGAATGGCCATCACTGAGAAAACAAATAACAGCGAAGGCTGGCAAAGATGTGGGCAAGGGGGCACAACTGTCTACTGCTGGAAGACAGTACGGAGTTCCTCACAAATACTGACTACAGAACTACAGTGAATGACGCTGAGTCAGCACATTACAGAGATCCTTGCATATCCGTTATTGCTGCATTTGTCACAGCAGCTACGAAATTCAACCAGCCTAGATGTCTGTCAGCAGATGAAGGGATAAGGGAAAGTGTGGTACATATGTACACAATGGGATTGTATTCAGCCATAAAGAAAAATGAAGTCACAACACGTGAAGGCAAATGGATGCAACTGGATGGAGATCATTACGTTAAGTGAAATAAGCCAGACTGGCCAGTATTTAATAAAGCTTCCTTCAAATTTGCCTCAAAAATTGTAGTAGTTTTATTCTTGCCCTGCAGGAGTAACACTATAAGGCAGAATAAACACTTCCTCTTTTACATCACATTTACCCAGTTATTTTATTACAGCATCAAGAAACATAACTAATGTGTTTAGCTTTAAAAATAAATTTAAATTAAGGGGGAAAAAAGCCAGGACTCTATCCATATATGGAGAGACATTCCAATCAAGCTTGAAGAAAATCTTAAGCAACTTTTAACAAGATGGTAACAGAAATAAAAATTCAGTTGGCTGTCTTGTGAAGTATTTATAATTAACGTGATTGCCCAGTGAAAGCACTGGATTGAAACACAGCCAGTTCCAACATGAAAAACCGGCAAGCAAGAGCCCACCTCTCTCATGGTCTTCCATTTTTTCTGCTCAGGCAAAAGAGGGCAATTGGCCCTCCAATTCCCTAGAATCTGAGTAGGGAAAAGATAGTGTCCAAGCCATCAAAAGCATCTGTCTAAATATAATACCTTTATAGCATTCAGGTTTTACCTTACCGACCCCACAACAACTCCTGTTTCATCCTCTCCTCCTTGTTTAGCAAAAATAAATGCTCCTCGATTTGCGATCCCGTGTCTTACACGGAGCTCACCAGCTGCGCAAACCTCCTCCTAACGTTAGCGCAGCGGTTCTCCATCTTCCTGTTGCAGACCCTTGAATACAGTTCCTCATGTGGTGGTGACCTCCGACTACTATTTTCATTGTTACTTCATTACTGTAATTTTGCTACTGCTATGAACCGTAATGCAAGTATGTGTTTTCCGATGGTCTTGGGTGACTCCTGCAAAAACGTCATGGGACTCCCCTCAGGGGCTCATGACCCACAGGCTCCATCAGAGCCTCCCCCAACAGCAAAATGGTTGACTCCTTCTGTTTTCAAATTAGTCCCAGTCTCCATTTAGTGGCAGGTTACATAGGTCTAAACAGTCATGAGTTTTACACAAGCGATTAGACACACACACACAAAGGTGGACCATCAGAGCCTGAATGACACTGATAAGAACCTACCTTAGGGTTTTCTGAGAACTTCTTCTTTGCCATCCTCCTCAGGCTGTCCTCAATCCCCTTCTTGGACTTTGCCAGGATGTCCTCTGTTTGGTCCACCAGTACTACCGTATGGCCAGTTGCTGCAGCCACCTAATGAAAACCGAGAATCGGTTTCACAATCCGCATGACTTCTGCCACGATTCTCTCAAAGCAGCCCGTGAGCAAGTGTACGCCAGCGTGAGACATGTGCTTCTCCCTGACAGGCACACCGCACACAGCAAACTCTCACCTGATGTGAAGCAGGATGGTAGGCCCCGGAAGGCCTTCCCCATGGAACCGGGCTACCCATCGCTCCAGAAAGGAGCCTGCATCTTCTCTTTAGAGATGAAGGCTGAGTGCACTTCCACCCCTCTGCGCCCCCCCCCCCCGTTTCCCATGACTGCAGCCCTTAAAACAAAAGTAGGTGAAGCTTAAGATTCTAATCACCAAGTCAAAAAGCACCCTGTCCCCTAGAGCTATTTAATGACGAAACTTAAAGGAGAGCAAAGTCTATGACAACCAGCTTGGGTTGGGGGGGTAATTCCAGATTTCCTGCCTTCTGCACTCCCCCCCTGGGTGGGTGAAGTCCCTGAGGCACAGGTATATTGAGCAAAGCTGTGTCACAAGTCATAGCTTAGTTTATACACTGTCAGCGTCAAGTCGACCCCTCTTTCACCCAGCTCAGTGAGGACCACACAGTAGGAAGTTTGTCTGAAACATCAGCCATTGACTCACCCACACGCAAGTGTAAGTCATTCTTTTTTTTTTTTTTTTTTTTTTTTTTTGGTTTTTCGAGACAGGGTTTCTCTGTAGTTTTGGAGATTGTCCTGGAACTCACTTTGTAGACCAGGCTGGCCTTGAACTCACAGAGATCTGCCTGCCTCTGCCTCCCGAGTGCTGGGATTAAAGGTGTGCGCCACCAACGCCCGGCAAGTGTAAGTCATTCTAAATATAAACTTAAAGGGCCTTTCATCAGGCCAAAGGCACCTCTGTCCAATCTATACCTGGCTCACTGGACAGAAGAAAAATGTACAAGCTTCCTACTCAACCCTGTAGTTTTTACTAGGACTCAAAGGTATGAGTCTGTTCTTGCTGCTTTACAGATACCTGATCTCTGCTTCTTCTACAATGTAGATTTTGGTACAGATTGACAATACTAATATGTCTAAAACTTTTATGTCCTTTTGTATAATAAAGTTTATATAGGCTTCAGAGGATCAAGTCATAAAGCTTGGATCCACTTCTCAAAAGGACTCCAGATAAGTACAACTTTTGTTATTCCACCTATCTGTTCCTGAGAATGGGATTTTCTCCCCTGGTCTAGGGACTCTTGCCCTTCCCGATCACTAAAACTATAGACCTAAGAGTACTGATTAAGTAAACATGTCTCAAACAGATTTCCACTTCTGGTTTCCACTTCTGGCAGACACATCGAGCATCAATTGCTGACTACAGCCTGCTACTAAAGACTGCAAGCTCTAGTTTTGCTATGGATATGAACCAGTCCAGCCGATGTGAACACTCCCTGTTTCTTCAACAGTATCCGCCAACAAAATGCTTCTGATAAATACTTTACTGCCTAAATTCCCTCTTTGCTTTTGACTAGCATTTCAGCCTAGTTGGACCCCTGACTACAACAACCCAAAGTCAGCAGGAAGTAGCACAGAAAAGAATACATCGCCCCTTTTCCCTGGTTAAGATGCTAAGTCAAAGAAAAACTCCCTTACATAGGGGACAAGATAACAATAAAAATTGTCCACTAGTAACCCAGAATTGGGCTACCTATAAGAAGACGAGTGAATGAAAGGGGTAAACTAAACTCAAAGGCTTCACTTCTAATAATTTAGAAATAAAGGGACCAGACCCTCACTCAGCCCCTGCTTTAGCAGCCATGACAGGCTACAGGAAAGACACGTAGGCCTCTGACACAAGGAATCTCCAGATCCTGTGGCCTCCGGGAGCCTAGGGCCAAAACTGAATATGAAGAAACTCCAGATGCACCCCAGCCTCCTCGATACTTGATTCCTGGGAACTGTTTGGCTACAAAAGAAACTCCAGGAGGTACCAAAAGCTCCCCTGTAGTCTCCAGGATATAGTTCTTAAAACTATTGGTATCTATGTACAACAGGCCACTGGCAAGTAACAAGACAATGCCATAGAAACCACAGAATGTTCCCTCTTAGCACTGACCAATGAAAATAATTGGTACACAGGTATTTCATGCCAAAATATGACTTTGAGAGATTTTCCTGATTGTTCCCAAATGTCAACCAATCAGAAACCAATCCATACCTACTGATATAATCCTGTAACTTTTGTCTATAAAACCTAGCAGTAGACAGGAAACTGCACTCCTTCTGGGGGCTGCTGCGAGAACTTTCTAGATGGCGTCCCTGTTGTGGTTGGATGAACAATCATTAAACCTCGCTTTTGCAGTTTGGTGGGTCTTCCTGGTGGTCTCTGGGGACTTTGCAACTTGGGCACAACAAGTCAAGTCAGCACGGGAGCAGCGGGACATACCTGACCTACCGAAGACATGAGTGACAGCCAGCACCGCTGAGAGACCGCTCGGGACCCACAGCACTCCCTAGACCCATGGACATTTGTGGTGTGGAAAGAGGGTTGGGCTAGCTGGAGATCTATCTAAGAAGTAACCAACCAGAAGGCAAAAATGGCAAGTCTTAAGCCACTGTCACCGTTGTGAGATTCCTGAAGCCACGCAACTAAAACTCAAAGCAGAAAGCAAAGAGGGGAAGAAACAGAACAAATGAGCAGGGTGTGAAGGTTAAACAGGTTCAAATCCCGAAGCAAGATTTCCAAAGCAAAGACAAGTTTGAAAGACAGGCTTTAAATCACAACAGCTCCCTGGGTGTCTCCCACGCAGCAGCGCAGTGGTGCAGGTCAGAGCCTGCCTGGCCTGTGGGCTGCTTCGGCATCCCAGGGCCTGAGAACAGCAGGATGAAAAAGGTGCTGAGACTCAAGGAGTGACAGACAGATCAGGGCACCGGGGACAAGAAGGGTGAGTCCTCTTGATCTTCCATCTCTTTAGAAGTACACGGTGAGCTCAGCTGTCAGCGTAAGGCCAAACTATTCCCCAAAGCAGAACACCCATGGATCCAGCCCAGCTTTTCTCCAAAAAACCAAGGCCAGGAGCCAACAACTCGAATCACACACAAACCAGAGTCTCCAATTCAGTAAGTTCAGGGTGAGTGGGCAGAGCGAATCTAGAAACAACCTAGAAAGGAGCTGACTCAGCAGGCCCAGGAAGGCTGCTGGAAAAGCTGACCCCGGGCTCACATCTGGAACTTGGGTACGGGGAGAGTTCCCACCATTCTCTGACAGCGTAGCTTATGCTGCTGCAGGCTCTCCCGAGACAGTGCAATTTTGAAATGTGCCAGGTAGAGGGTAATGTCATGTCCATTGCCCAGTCCAAATCCTGGATGCCAGGCCTCTAACTGGTGCCCCGTAGACAACCTTCACACATTTTGTCACTTCTTTATTTTTTTAAAGATTTATTTATTTATCATGTATACAGTGTTCTGTCTGCATGTATCCCTGCAGGCCAGAAGATCTCATTACAGATGGTTGTGAGCCACCATGTGGTTGCTGGGAGTTGAACTCAGGACCTCTGGAAGAACAGTGAGTGTTCTTAACCTCTAAGCCATCTCTGCAGCCCCATTTTGTCACTTCTTGCTGCGAGGGAGCTGCGTGCTTCCAAAGGCAGCTCTTGCCTGACATGCGACATACCCCAGTGGCCTTCCTCTTTGCCACTAGTACTTTATACCCTTTATGGTAGTAAATTGCCACCAGGAGGCACCCACAATAACCTAGCAACCAAACACTCACAATGTCCCAGCACCCCAGGGAGCAAGCACCCGCAATGACCCAGCACCCAGGGTGCAAGCACCCACAATGTCCCAGCACCCAGGAAGCAAGCACTGATCCTTAAGGAAGGGGGTCTCCCCTGAGGTGAGGACACAGGTGATATTTCTAGAAAGCATCTTCCTGGTTACCATACCCACCTCTGGCTGACGTCACAGAGCACTTTTTGTTGGGTTTTAGATGAGGAGCCATGCTAGCCTCACATGTTTAGACAGAGCAAAGGAAACCTACAGGTACTCATATGTGCAGACAACTGGCCAGACACAGCTAGCTGCCCGATCACTAAACCTCCAGGCAGTTTTCCGTGAGCATGGAGTACATGTTACGTGATCACATCAGAGTGACTCTGTGTAAACCACTGGCTTATTTCCCATGTATCCAGAAGACACCGGAGGCGCTAACTGACACAAAGACCAATGCCCTCTAAATGCTCAGGTTCCACACAGTCACTTCCAACAGATGTGCCCTAGAGACATGGGCCAGCGACTAAATGAGGGCAACATCATGTCTTAATGATCTTTGCAAACCTCAAAGCCAGGCCCACAAACAACACATGGCCTGGTCCACATCACACGCTTCAGACAATATCCGTGGGACTATGAGACTGGTGTTCCTTGCTTCTGGCACTCCAAGCGGGCTCATCTTCCTCTCATTGGTGAGTGAGCCTAAACGGGTTGCCCCAGAGATGGGGCTGGAACAGGCAGTCTAAATGGATTACCAGAGAGTTGGTTGCTGGAGCAGACAGTCTGGCTCTTGCTCCAACGAAACCCAGAAAAGCTGCACAATTCTCACCGCAGACCAGCCTGACCCATGCAGGCAACTTTAAGAATGTAGGCAGCCAAAGCCTCCTGAGAGCCAGCATGCTTCTTCCTGAATTACTGGTGTACTCGTCTCAACCAACCAAAAACATAAGCCCTTTAAAAAGGAGGGGAAATGTAACAAGAACAGGATGGGGCTTGGACTGAGGACCTCCGGAGTGCCAGGGTCAAGGCTACATTTTCCCAAGACTATTTCCGCTTCGCGAAAGATGCCATCAATATAAAAGGCTGAGGCTCTTGACAACAACCACTCAGTTAAGCCATGAAGCCAGGATTAAGTTCTGAGCCTGTTTGAGTCCAGGACTTGTCTTCCTGTAATCCAGGAGAGTGAAGTACATGTTACATGATTGTGTCAGAGTGACTCCGTGTAAACCACTGGCTTATTTCCCACTTGACATTCTGACTACCTGG